TGTCGCAAATTGAATCAGAGCAACAGTGCGCTTGCAAATATGTATGAGATGGGATATCGGATGAATGAATGTATCAATTTTCATGGCCTGTCCTGGTGCCCATAATCAGCTTATTGCAAATCCTTGAAGGGGACTCTCAGTTCCTGAAAATTGGCCCTCAAACGTGGTATTATTTAAAATTAAAAATCTGCGTGGCATTTCTTTAAAACAATATTTTAAAGTATTTCTCACATGTAAGTAGTATATATTAAATATTAATTTACATAAAATCTTTTTCATTTTCTTTGCACATTTAAAATGTATATATGTATTTAATGGGCAGCTTTTAACTCACCTTTAACTTCATGTCGCCGTGCTTGAAATGTCATGCTCGCACCCGGAACTCCAGGCCCAATCGGGCGACCTCCAGCCCCTCGCGGCCCACAATCAGGGGTTCATAGGGTCGCAGCACCGAGCGGTTCGCGTGCATCCCGTTAATCAGCCAGCTGAGATGGCAGACCGGCCTGGAAGCCGCCGAGGTGCAATTGACGCGCACCATGTCGCCAATTTGATACCGCGGCTGTCCGCCCGTGATTTGTGGTCCGTGCTTTGGAGTCACTGCAATTGCGGAGGAGAGCAGAGGTTTCGGATTAGGAGGCTGACACCCGAGGATTGTCGGATGAGGTGGCCGCTACTAATGGAGCAGCTAGTTTGGTTTCCGTTTGTCAGCAGTCCGATTCAACTTTGACTTCTACTAAATATGGGGAACGCTTAAAATCACCGTTAGTCTTTTCCAAATTTAATGGATTAAATTAACTTATTTTAAGTTTGAGTATCAAATAAGACCAGTGCAATTCTATTGTTAAAGTACCAAATCAATAGTTTATTAAATCGTTTTAAAATAAATGAATAAAATACTACAAATTGCTCATTTCCCTCGTGTATAAGCCGATTGTTAGAAAAAAATCCCAAAAACCAAAAACATTTCGTTTCTATACATCCGCAATTAAGTTGTGTTTTCCAAACAAGATTGATGGTTAATTTGGTTCTGGTTTCCACCAAAATTCTATCCCCCAGCTGTGCAACGATGTCAAATAATTTTTTTGAGCCATCAGTTGGGGAAATTAAATTGATTCCCAATCGCAACAAAGAGGGCATGCAAATTTAGTTTAAGCTCAACTAAAATAGAAAATAACAAATATGTGTACGAAAATGTCGAATACATCTCGACGGTGCGAAACTTTTGTACGTTGTAGCACTTGATTTGATTCACGTTGCTGTTGTTTGCCTTTTGTGGGTCACTGTGTGTTATGGCCATGAAGTCCAGTTGCCGGACAGATGACGATGGAGCAGCAAATGGCCGGAATTAGGGGGCTAAAGGGCAGGGCCAGGTCTGCTGGCCGACCTGGCTGCCTGCCAATTGGGTCAAAAACTGTGAAAATCGAACAAAACTAAAGCGAAACTTCAATTAAACATAATCGATAGTTTCGCACTGATGAAAAGTTTAGGAAAATGAAAGGAAACTTCAGCGTTTATCGCACAAAAGAATATTTCTTCCACACTTTTTCATCCGCTCCTTAATAATGGTAATAATTGCACCAGGACTTTGCCGAATACGAGGAAAGGACGATAAAGAAATTTATTAAGGGTACACTGTGAAGCTTGTTTGACGATTTAAAGGCAGACTTGTTTTATTTAATATTTATAAAATAACTTTTATTTTAGAAAAAATAAACTTTTATTATAATTAATTATTTTGTATATTATTACGAAAAGTCTACATTATTCAAAATTGATTAAGCCCTCATAATTTATTTATTAAACTGTCAAAAGAACCAAAGCGTAAGCTATTTGTTAAATAAAATAGGTAAACTCATTTTAGAAGGCGTTTTGTTTAGAAGTACCCAAATAGGGTCAGAAGAATTCACTTTTTCCTTCAAGACATTTCCCTTTGTCCTCTTTTTTCCTCCTTTCACTCATTTTTCTCCATCTTATTGTTCGGCTTAACCGAACTGAACTGCATAAATTTTTATTTCCAGCGACTATTTTTACTCTGTCCTGACATTGATAAAGCTGTTGATATTTTGTGGCACTCCTTTTACGAATTTCTCCCTTTAATATTTGGCAAAATGTTCAACATATTTTCCGTTGTTGTTTCAGTTCAGGGACGGGGTGCTTACATCCCCTGCTTATCCCCTGTTGGGCTCTGCTCCAATATCAATTGGTAATAATTGCTGGGCATTTTTATTCTTTAGCCGCCATTGTCCGGCTTTGTTTGCCTCCAAGGGCCTTCAGACAAGGGATCAACATGGATCCAGTTTGTTTTGCGTGGGCCGTGCCCTCGGGTTCTGCTTTGTCCCGGGCTCGGGTGAACAATGGATTCAATTGAGCAACTGAAACAAATATCTAAGTAAATCGGATGCCTAAATAAACTAACAATTTTTCACCTTAATAGCTTTTTGGCCCACGCATCCACACAAAAGGGTCAAAGGGGCGCAATTGATTGAAAAGAAACGAGTTGCCAAAGTTTTCTACCGGTTTTCTTTTTGTCGAAGAAGTTAACCTTGCCCTAGGTATTTTGTTGTTGGGAAAGGTTGCTTCATTTATTGAAAAATCCCCGCTGACTATAAATTGAAAAATATTATTAGTTTAAAAAACAAATAATATTTCGAGAAGACCAAAACTATTTTAAGGTAATATTGTACAACTTTTCTAAGCAAAATCTTAATTTTGTTTTGGAACCTAATTCCTGCTAGGAACAACAAATTATAATATATTATCTTCACATTTTTTATATTAAGTAAGCTAATGAAACTTAAAACAATTAGTTTTCGTTTTGTGATATTTTTTAATACCTACAATAAAATTCCTATTTTTTTCTTTACAAACATATATTCACATGTGAAACTTTTCGAGGCATTTCTCGCACAGATTACGTTTAACCAATTTGCCCGACCGGATGCGGCCATCATATGCAGCTGCACCGGGACGCCGGTATTTTCCGCCCATTTCCCGCGCGTTTCCATCCGTGGAAATCCCACATTTTCAATTTCCGCGCATACACTGCAATTATCGCGTATGTTGACTCCCCAGTTGATGCTGTCTAATTTAAGGAACTGGGTCAAACACATTTAGCAAGTTGGCTTTCCCAACTGTATTTCCCTCTATTATTTACTCCACAATGCAGACATAAGAACCAATTCGTTTATTTAAGTATTTCCGTAATTTAAATGAGATTTCTACCAGGCAACTAAATTCATCACTTTGGCAATTTCTCTATTTATCGGTGTTTTTCTGCCATTTCTTTTTCTGGCTTACTTTTCCGTTTGCCCTTTGGTGGCACCCAGTTTTCCACTTTTTCCGGCTCAGAAATTCATTAGGTTTATTGATCCGCAAATCGTCGCAGTCATTATGCCTTTGATTTAATCCGCTTACATCTGAACTGAAGAGCGGCTTTTCCTCGCCAACCCATCGCAATTTTTCCTCTTCCCATTTTTCTCCATTAAAGTCTAAGCGTAATTGAGTAATTTCCAGCTGAAAACGGAAGCTCTGATTGGTGGACTTTCCTCCCTCGCTCTTCCCCTCAGTCGAGGAAATATTTAGTTAGCCTAATTATGCGATATACCAATTTTGATTGCCTCTCTCCGGAACCCACTCAACATTTCAGTGGACGGAAATGAAGGTGAAATTTACCTGGCTCAAACAATTGTGCCGACAACTGACGTTGATAAACATCATCACCATAATGGGGTTTATCTGTTGGATATTCGGGTCAGAGATGTCTCGATGTGCTACGCATTTAATCCTTTTTGAAGACACTGTGTTGTTTGTAATAGATTAAGTTTGAATGAATTGGCCATTATCTTTATCTACATTTACCGATGGCTTTTAAATGGGATAATTTTTATTTCCGAGAATAACAAATTGTAAACTAAAAAGAAACTTAAATAAAACCTCTGTGTCTTTAAATATGTAAAGTTTCCCGTACAGATTTACTTAGGGCTCATCTTAAAGTGTCTGATGAAACTGAAAATTTATATCTTCTTCTTAGTAAAGCTTTCTGCTAGTTTTCCGCTGTTATTAAACACGTTTATTCTAAGTTTTCCTCCGCAGCAGTTTTTCATATTGCGTTTGGTCATATTTTTGCGCCATGTTTTGTTGGATTGTGCAAAAATTTCAAATTAAGTTGCAGACGGGGGGCGAAAAAGAGGGGAGATGGTGAGCGAGAGAGAGGGCGAACGAGTCTGGGGCTGTGGAAAAATCCAAAGCTGTAAGTGAGCAACAGAATTGCATCACGTACATGGGCAATTTGCCAGTGGAATACAATACAAAGAACAGACACACACACACATACACTCATTGAAAGTCTGTGTTGGCCAGGAAAAAAGGATGGCCGAAATCGTCCCTCTCCCTCTTCCGTACTATCCCCATCTCTGTCTTCCTGAGCCCGCTGGCATTTTTGGCACAGGTTTTCTCCTCGAGAATTTGTAAATCGCAGCGAGAAACAATGCCGGGCATAAACTAAATAAATGTGAAATATTTTATACATTTTCGTAGTGCGCCAAAGGGAGACAGGGAGATAAAGAGTGAGAGAGGAGGTCGTGCGAGAAAGGGACAGGAATAGCTCTACTGTAACAGATTACTTTTCGTCGCTTAGTTCGCTTGCTGCAATTAATCTTGCCGCTTTTCTTCCGCCAACCTCTCGCTCTCGCTGTCTCTTTCTATTGTTTTCCAAAGCTATAGCTATCCCTTTTCCTTCACATAGCCCCTCTCTTTCCTACCCTGCCCTCAGCCAACATTTTAGCGTGCATGCTTTTTGTTGGCCACTTTCACTTACCCACAACAATCATGTCCTCGTGACCGGAAACCGTCTGAAACGAAGGCGCCTCGCCGGACACTTCGCAGCGATATCGGCCAGTTGACTGGAGGCTAACTGAGCGCAGGACAACAACCACGTCCGTCGAGTTTTGTAACTGCAAGAATGGGGAAAAAAATAAGGTCAAGGAACGCAGAGCCAAAAGTGAAAGCTCCCTAAAAATGGGTATTTATTTCCACGCATTAAGCGATTCATACTATATGCAACACATTAAAGTTTTAATAAATAAATATCAAATGGTCATCTTTACATTTATATTATGAAAATCAGCTTTAAACTAATAATTTTCTATATTTAAAATAAAAATCAATCCCATATGTGACTCTTATGACCTAAGACCTGATCATGGCCTGAGTTTGCATTTGCTTCTACAACTTTTCCATCGCTATTGTCTGGGTCTTTATCCTCATCGTCATCTTCATCCACATCTTCATCGTCCTCCTCTTCGTCTTCGCCTTCATCATCCTCATCGAGCATCACGTCAGTCAGGGCCTCCAGCATCTCTCCAAGATCGTCATCCTTAACGGGCATTACTTCATCCAGAGATTCGGCTGTGGGCTCCACGTGAAAGATTTGCATCGAATCCCTGAACTTGATGGCATCCTCTAGGTGCAGGATGCTCAGATCCTCTTTATTTTCCCGATTTCGTTCGATGGGATCTATCAGAGGCTGGCGGATCTGATCGGCAATTAAACGGACGACGTCCTCATGATCGACGGGCGCCACAGACTCCTCCAGCGATTGCAGCAATTTTGATTTTCTGTAGCTCATTATTAACCATACCAAATCTAGGGATAACTAAATAATTTTCTGTCTTGAATTTTAGTTTCTAAAATTATATCTTTGACAATGATTTCAAAGGGTTGATTAAATAAAGGCATCTACTGATCAGTACAATCCGGAATTTAGTATTGCCATTTTGCTATTTTTATTGAATTTAAAAATGAATGATATTAAAATCAACAATCTATATTCGAACACAGAGCTACTTATGCCTTAAAATGCGTCGTTTTTGATATTTTATTTTAATATCGCGACTTACCTCTACATCTACCCCTGGCAGGGGAAAAACCTGGCCCGGGGGCATGTCCCTGGGCACATAGCGATAGAACTCGAAGCCATCCTTGTACCACTTTACCGAGTACAGTGACTCCCCGTCGAGATCGAACTTGCAGCCGAGCGCGGCGTCCTCGTGGCGCATTATGTGCTTGGGGATTTTGATTTCGGTCATTGTCAGGCATTCCGCGGATTCTGGAAGAAACAATCGAAGGGAAATATTTAGTTATTCGGTAGAAATTCAGGCAAAGTGTGTGCCACTTTAATGGGTCCTTAGCTGTGGGCTGGTTTCGCGGTTTCAATGCCAGTGGCAGGACATAAATAACTTGCAGCAAGTGCATAAAAGTCAAGGAAATCGAAGGAACCTCCCCCTGCAGACTAGAACAATGCGCTTTTGTTTTGCCAACACAATGGTTAGTTGGCTGGGAGGGAAAGTGAACGCGACTAACTTGAGCAACGTGTCCTGGTTGGAAAGTCCTTTCCCAGGCAAAGATGCTGCCAGGGTGCTGGCTGTGGAAAAGCTCTTGGGCCCCGGCGATATAACTCAGTACTCGAGACAATGCTGCAGTGAAATGAAAAGTTGCCAACTTATTTAACAGCCCAAGACAAAGACGGAAAACTGTGTGTAGTAGGCCCGCTTGCAACTGGGAGGGCAATTTGGGTCACGCAAATCGAGATATGAAATTAATATTGCAGGGCTGAAATGAGCAGTTGGAAAGTGGGGCAATCCGTGAGGGAGAAGCGAATGTGCAGCTCATTTTGTCCCAGGGGAATGTAAGTGGGGGCTAATTTTGGATAGTAAACGGGGCGTTTAATGATTTAGAATGCACAGGATAGCTCATTTAAGTAATACCCGTATCTTTACTTTTAGATTTCATAAACTTTAACGTAGAAAAGTAGATTTGAAAAAATACTAAGAAAATATGCGGAAAAAACCAAATTAAATTTTTGACTTGTTTTGGTGTCATAATAATAAAAAACAGACTTTGTTTTACCTTCCCTAGATTAAACTTCACTGGAAAATAAATGCCTGTCATATAAACACGCCATTAATTGAAGAACAAAATTTATTCAACCTTTTCGCTTTACTTACTCTAAATTAGCATGTCTTGCGTCACAAAAGACTGAAAGGTAAATTAAACTAAGCCCTTTATTAAGTCATCCTAACCACTAATGTAATTTTCCGACCAGCCTGTTCAATTATATTCAAGTGTCAACGCCTTTTCGGAATCCAATCAAATCTAACGCACAACTACGAGAATATCCTCGCTGTCAAGTCAGAAATAGAACTCAAAGCAAATCCCACACTTGTTCATTACGTCCGTCAACAGCTTTCGAAGTTTATTTTTGGGCAAGTTCACAAATAACAAAGCAATAATGTTTAAAAATACAATTGTTGCCGAGCCGGAAGAAAATAACTGCGTGTGCTCAAAAATAAGGGAAGAGGTCTTAAGGGTTTATTTACGTGGTAGTTAGCATTTACAGGATTTGATAGACTTTCCAATGATTCCAGAAGGTTATGAGGTTAGAGAAAAAAAAGACCAAAAATAGTCATCAATCAGGTTTTTTTTTAATATCAATTTTGGTCCTATTTGTGTTCATATCAAAATAATATTTCCGAACTTATGATTTTGCACCATATTGATAAGAAATCGTACCATTTAGTTATGGAAAAAATGATATAAAACAATATCAGTTCCATATATTTCCGTTTTTTCTCTGTGTACCTATATTTTCTGTTATTTTTACTATCACGAAAAATGGCAAAAATACTTATTAAAAATAGCTTAAATATTTATAATTTATTTAGAATTTACTATAGGCCTCAGTTGGCTCTACTTTCTCTACACACAAAAAAAAAACTTAGTAAAATCAACTGTAATAATTGTCAAACAGGCCCCAACCAGCAAAATTGTCAATTCTACTAAGTAAATAGTCATTTCACAACAACAAAATACACACAATTAGCAAAGACACAAACCCAAAGCAAAAACAAAATACACGTAACTATTTTAATAGTTACGTAACTATCTTTGTTGGTCAATTTTACCAAGCAAATTTTTTTGTGTGTACTAAAGGTCCTTGAAAATGGTTTTACAGGGTATGGAAAGATTCAAGTCTTACCAGAATTCCTGATTTCCTGCTTTTTGTAGTCGTTCAACCAGACCGCCAACGTAGCGACAAACAAACAAATAGAGAGCACAATGCACAAAGGTAGGGAAAAGAAGAGCCGCCGCCATTGAAGCCGATGACGATGTTGATGGCGATGTTGTGGGTGTAGATGTTGGGGTAAATGGTGGGTTACCAGGAAGTGGCCACGCCCACCGTCGGCTTTGCCCCTTTGAGTGCATTTCCGCTTTGAGGCGGCGGCGTCGTTTGAGTTCCTTTTTTCCGGCCGGTGCGTGGCTCCGCTTTGGTGGACACTTTGTGGAATCCACGTATTTCGCCTGTGTGTGCGGCTTAAGTATAATTTAGCATTTTGCACTCTCCAGTAGTTTGTGTACAGCTGCCTCGTTGGCGGAAGACAAACAAAGTGCGTTGCCAAAAGGTTTCCACCGCACAAAGGACCTCTGCCGTTGGAAAACCCCTCGGTGCTCCTTTTTTCTTTCACAAGTAAGAGAATTTGTAAGGAACCACTATGAAAACATCCTTGGGCCACAGAGAACTCCCATAGGAGTTGCAGCCGGGAAATGACTATAACTGTAAGGATTTTTAATTTTTCGAATACATCTTTAACTGATTTCAAAAGCAAATAGGGAACAACCATTTTTTTGTTGAGAAAGCCTTTAGCAAAACTAAACCTACACACAAAAAAATTTGCATGGTAAAATTGACCAACAAAGATAGTTACGTAACTATTAAAATAGTTACGAGTATTTTGTTTTTGCTTTGGGTTTGTGTCTTTGCTAATTGTGTGTATTTTGTTGTTGTGAAATGACTATTTACTTAGTAGAATTGACAATTTTGCTGGTTGGGGCCTGTTTGACAATTATTACAGTTGATTTTACCAAGTTTTTTTTGTGTGTATGTAAAAACCTTTATCACTAATCAAATTAATCCGTTACGAATTTAATTATCAATATTATAATCGCATTATTCATGTCTCACAAGTGGATTTTGTTCCGCTAGAAGTATTTAGTGATGAAGTCTTGCGTCGTTAGTATTATTATTGGTTAGTTTAACAGAAATTTTACCGAAATTTCATTAATTTTTATTCTGGGGCAGCTGTGAGTTGCAGAATGGCCTGCGGTGCATTTCAACCTTGCCTCATCAATGAGAAGCCAATTTGCGTAATACACGAAGACTGCAGTTTTACATTATACAACAAATGCTTATTGCAGTTGCATAAACAGTTTCTTATAAATGAGGGAAAACAACGTAAGCAAAGTAAAATAATAAAAAAGTTGAATAATAAACAGAAAATTAAAAACTTGCAGCTTTTAAGACATTTATAACAGGATCTTGCCCTAAGGATTCTAAACTGTGCCCTTACAATACATATTTACCAGGCCTAACGTTTGGATGATCAAGCTTTAATAAATATTCTTCAATCATTATTTGTAAGATACTTAACAACAAACAATTGTTAGGAGCTTTTAAATACTTGATAAGATTACATATCATTTTGTTATTAATACGAAATTCGAACTGAGATGCCGCATATCAAGTCAAAATTAATACCACATAATTTCAAACTGATCATCGTTTCATATCAAGTTTTTTTTGGGTGTATTTAACAATATATACCCATTTAACTATTTATTTTCCGAAACAGTGTGCTAACTTTGACAAATTTAAAATGCGCAATTGAAGCTACCGGTAGTTGAAGACCAAGTAGCTAATTAATACGCCAGAAATTGCAAAGTTTTGGCATTTAACCTGAGCTTAATTAGGAAAAGCCAATGCCAGAAGGCCAAGGCGGAGCTGTGAGCCTGCCAGATCCGGAAAGTTTTCCATTTGATGTCGTGTAAACGTCATAGTTATGGTCGAAAGGGGATCACTCAGCACTTCTTTCGGTTCACCTTAAAACGAACTGCAGGGCTGCCGTCACAGACAAAAGTTTGCTACTTAATTATTGTTGATTTTTAAATGATTTCATTTGCCGCCGGAGGGCCACAAATGTCAACCGCAGACAAAAGTTGTCCGCCTCTATTGCCCGAAATGAGTTTCTTTTTGGGGTTTAGTTGTGCTCGAAATCTAATTCAATGTTGGGGGAGCGAAGAGTTGTTGGGGATGAGTGTCAAGTGCAGAAGTTTACGGAGCAAAGTTTAGCTTTGCATATCATTATGGCTTTTTGATGGGGTGAGCAATGTCCTTAGTCATCTAAATAATGTGCCGAGGGTGGTCTTCATGGGCAACTAATGAACTTTCAAGGGTTCGTGGGCAGTCGATTTTCAAGTGAAGCCATTGATCTTGTTTGGTTAATCAATTCATAGAAAATTAATTGAAGCTGAATATAGCTATCAAAATAATACCCCTTGATTTTAGACTCCTCTAAATGTGTTTTTTAATAAACAATTGTGGTCATCACAATTATATGAAATTCCATTGATTCATAAAAGTTTTGATATAGAATATTTCCATAAACTAAATCTCCCATAATGAAATTCACATTTTCTTGTGCCCTCATGTGTATATCAAACATTCAACGTAGTGCGACATTTCCATTTTATACCAAAAATAAATAAAAATACAAGAAATATCATATTTGGGCAAAATCCCATTTAGAAGCCAAATGACAATGGTAGCAGCTCACTCAAGCGGATTAGTTACACAATGCAAACATTGTGCATCAATCTCGGTACTTTTGTACTCCCTTGATCATCCGGAAAAATAAGTCCGGAAAATTCTCGGCAGAGCAATTGCAATTTCGAATCCAAATCTGACTGTCACATGAGCTCAACTCGGCTCAGCAAGGATTCTCCTACCCTGTTCATCTCCTTCTATCAATAAAGCTCGACAGGCAAATGCAAAATGCAATTAATTTTATTAGAGTCCATTGAAAACTCATTGGAAAAACGGTCCACAAAAGGGGGCCTCTTGCCTGAAAGGCTGCCGAGCCAAGAATTTACGACCCTGCCAAGGCTTCACTTACAATGCAAATTTTTCCAGACAGCACAGAGGAGACAAGGAAATTATGATGCGGCTCGGTTGGAGAGCTTACTCATGGGTTTCCAGGGGTTGAGGAACCGGATGCGGAGCCTTGAGCAAATAAAGATGTTTTTTCCATGTTTCGCAGACGCCAGCAGCATCAATACGCATCAATCCCCGCCAGCAGCCTCCACCGATCCACTGGACCCCTTTCTCATCCGAGGCAGCCGCCTAGAACGTGCTTAATCTGCAATCAGAGGCGGAAGTTGGTCTCCTCCTCAGCCTCCTCGATGGTCCGTCTGTCTATTCGGCTTTCTGTCCACTTTAGAGTCCTGTCCCCGTCTTTATTTCAGTTGCAGTCTGAGCCCTGATGTGATACCCTTATAAGGGGTATTATAGTTTCCAAAAATTAAAATTACTAGCTAAAAAAACCTATTTCACTTTATATAATAGATTCTCCTCTAACTAAAGATGGTCGAAATTTCCGAATTCGGATGGGCTAAGCTTCATGTCTTCAAAAAATTAATACATTCGCGGTCAAATCGACATGAGCATGGTAAATTTCTGGTATTGCATGCGCATATCGTTTTTACCAAAATCTCTCTCTCGGAGATTCTCTGACTTTGAAATAAAGAGGAAGAAGCAATGTGGCGACTTAAGTAACGTGGGAGCGAGATGTACAAACTCTCTCAATTCGAGATAGAGCGAGAGAGCACTTAAAGTTACATGAGTGGTAGGGAGAAAGAAGCATTCGATATTTAACCTGGCCTATTGCTTACATTTCGAGCATATCAAGCTGAGATTCCGGCATCAAATCAATCATCGTTTCATATCAAGTTTTTTTTGGTGTACCGATAAGTGTTTCCCCTGCATTTTTAACATACTTCGAGGGTATTTAAATCTTCGATGCTCTTCTGGTATCCTATTTTTCTTTGACGACTAGTGCATCCTCGTTGTCCTGGTCGTTGTCATTGCAGTCGCAAAACGGGAGCACGTCTGCCACTCCCCCAGCGCCGCCCAACGCCCCTTTAACCCCTTCTGGCCACCAAAGCCAACAGCTCCCAGTTGTCAGCTCAGCTCAGTTCAGTTTTTGCTGCATTGCAGGCGCACTTTCATTTGCATATTTTGCAAAAGGAAAAAAGGGAGAGGAAAACAAAAAATATGGCATAAAGTATAAGGAAAGATGAGAGCAGCAAGAAACTTGGCAACAATCGATCGGATCCCATTGAGTCTGTTTCTTGCTAGATGGTTAATCGGAGGGCGCATAAAGTCACAAGTTTCCATATCGATTTGACTTAAAGGAATTCTCTGACAATATTTGTGTTTGGCTTTTGTAAGGACGGCGTTAAGCCCAGAAGGCGATTGCTATAAGGATTTCAAATTTAATCCTTCAAAACATGTCAGTCAACAAATCCATTCGTTTTACGCCAGCCCACTATTATTTCCCATAATTACCTCAAATTGTGTTAGGCATCAAACCGAAATGACAAATTAATCAGGTCGAGCTAAGTCGTCCATCAAAGGCACATGCATAATGCACATTATTTTCTTTAATTAGAAAATCAATTAAATTACTCCACGCAGTCACAGCTGTAATAATATAATTAAAATTCGCTTCGCCCTGCAAGCGGAGTAATGCCAAAGACGTCACTGCATGAGTCGCCAATTATCCCTCATACATATACTGCCCCCTTAAAAGTAGGTAAATTCAATTAAATTTAGCACATGAATTTCAATGTTTTATGATTAATCACATTGCAGATGGCTAGAGAATTATGCAAGGGAATAAGTGTCAATGGAAAGGGGAAAAAAGGGAATCAATTGGAAAACAATTTACATAAAGAAAACACAAATTTAAAAACGTTTAAATTATAATTTTGAATATATTAAATAAATTCATCTAATAATAATTTAGATTTGAAGTATAAATTGCAAACTTTGGGTACCTATCAGTGCTTGTCTTGAGTTTCTATTCGAACTTCCCAGACTATTTTATAGGCAAATAGCATTCACCTTTTTGCTATTCATACCGTTGGCCAGTAAGCCATCACAAAACCCACAATCTGTTGGCACCTTCTAACTGGGGCCCTTTCAATGGGTCTTCAAGAACACTTTAACCCCGCCTAATCGCTAGAAAAGGCACTTAATAATACTTATAGGTATTTATGATGCCTGAACAAACCGAGCCAAATCTTTAATAAACTCCACTCGAAGGAGCCCCAAGTGCTCGGCGTCTGCAGGAACTTTCATTAACTGAATAAAGGGGATATCGAGAAATAGGAAAGGGGGAGAGTGCGTGTCGCTCAACATTAGTTTCATGTGCTGCCAATAAATGTGTACTTCCCTCGGACATCGCTGCTCGCTCTTTGTTAGTTACAATTCGGCCAGAAGTGTGCGCCACGTTAACTTAATTTCATTATTTGTTGCTCGCTCCCAGAATTTTTCCCCTCTGTGCGGCATGCGTACGTGACCTCATAATAGGAAAATAAGATTTCTATCTATAATTCAGGCAGCGCTCGCTCAAACCCAAGCCGGCTAAGTGCCAGCAAATAATAATCATTTCAGTTCCCCCGTTTGTCTAGACAGAAATTGTATTTGTCAGTCATTATTATTTCGCTCCGTTGTCGCAATTGAGCGTGGAAGGGAAGCTAAGTTAAATAGTAAGCACAGATCTGCCACAGAAACTTTTTGCTTTGACAACTCTGCCGCAAAAGGAACTGGAAACGGAAATGGCAAAAAACTTGAGCATGTTTATTTATTTAATTAAATGTGGCAGCAGGAAAGTTTCACTGGTGTTTTCCATTTTTTTCTTCTTACTGCCTCTCGGCAATCAAGCTAATTAAGTTGAAGGTTTTCGCACACACACAAAAAATTAATATTAATAAAATATATTAATTGCGGTGGGCGCTAATGAAAGATGTGCAAATAATTAAATTTAATTTATGGTTCAGTCAACCGTACGTTTCATTAGCTGTGAAAAGTGACAATCATTGAAACGGATATTGAGCTCTTTAGTAAAAGGCAAACGAATAGTTTTCTGCTCCATCAGAAGGGATTAGTAATTTTTAATTTGTTTTCAGGGCATTGCATTTTAAATCAGTAATTAATACTGACTAACTATTTGCATTCGAGTAAAGAATGGTAATAAAAAATGCATTTAAACACTTTTTAATTGCTGTAATTCAAATATTATCCAATTGACGACAATATGAAATTCGATATTCCATTCGACCCCATTTCAATATCCTTTCGAAGAGAATGTGTAGGGTATGCTAGACCTTCAGCCAACCTCAATCCACATCTCCATTATCTTCGCAAATCAAAAGTCTTTTTCTAATTCACCCTTCTCGTGGTTAACCAAGACTTTCGCTTGTTTGCCAGTTAATTTTGTTTAGTTTTTGCTTAGCAGTTTGTTGAACTTAATTAAAAATAAATAACAGGCAGTGGTGGCAGTGGCAAACTTGCCCTGGCAAGGTCTTGAG